CAGACCTATTTTTGCTTGGTCCTGTTGCCATGGTGACTCGTAATTTCTTCACTCCATTGTTCAGGGCTTTTTATAGTCGCGTGGCACGCGCCTAACTCTGAGTCAAACAACTCAGAGTTGATTAAACCAACTCTTTTCAGCTGTTCTGAAACCGAAAACTCCCAAGTTTTCCAACTCTGGGGAAGTCAACTCAGAGTTCAGATTTGAACTCTGAGTTTGTTAAACCTCCTTCTTGATACGGCCCCTGAAAAAGCCGAACATTTTGATACCTGAATGGCTTTTCTAGCTGAAAGTATGCTGAAGTAGTTTGCCAAAAAACGTACGGAAGAATAACAATAATAAATAATTGGAAAACATAGTATGGATGCTGACTCAGCATCCATACTGTAATTGGAAACATACTGTGGATGCTGCTGACTCAGCATCCACACAATGAATAAAAAGAAAGGGGGACAAAAATAAAGATACAGGAACTCCACAGTAATGACTTCTGCTGTCTGTCAAGTGACTTTTCGTAAATCTTGTATGACAATGATCAAGCACCCCCTGCTGGTAGAATCGGAGGGTAAACATCTTTCCGCCTGTTCCAACCAGAACAGACGTCATTGTCCTGTACTCAAAGTACATGTATGGAATTCTTCAATCGTATTTTAGATTACCCAGTTACTATACTTTGTTATAGCTCATGCTGTGTGTCTAATTCCGGTTGATTCCACTCATTCTTTGATTTATGCGATTTTACACTCTATTCTTGTGTCGTGAAATTGTTTATTTAACACATTGATAGCTTCGGGGTCTTACTTTTTGTACACAAGGCACAAATTTAATAACAACGACGACTATAAGGTACAGTTTCGAGGCAGTATTTATAAGGCGCTATATATTTAGACCATGGATGTGTATATTCATTTCTAAGGTCATGTCACATTTATTCCGGAGGATCCCTACCGGAAGTGGTATTTGCAGGTCGCGGAAGACAAGCGGGGGGAAACGTGAAGAAGGCAATAAAGTTAGGAAGTAATTTGGTCTGTGTTAAGGTTTTTTTTCTGTGGGGTTAGCACAAACGGAATTTTAACTTGTGCTAATTGGGTAATATTAGCAACCACGTTATAACGTTAGTTTCAAACGCGCATATGTGTTTTTAGTATTGTTTATAATAAGAAAGCAAAGGTTAGCCAGGTAGGCAAGTGTAGCTAACTCACTGCAAGTTACAAGCAACTAAAATATCGTCGGCGTTTAGAGTTAAGTTGTATTTTAAAAGGAAACATCAGCTAAATTTGTAACTGATATTCTAACGTTAACCAGAAGAAGAACGGGAGGTTCGTTGTTATTGTTGGGACCTGTTGGGAATGCCATCCCCTCCACACAGTCGCAGTAGTCATGAAGAGTCAACGAACATATCAGACAGTGGTTCAGAGGGCGAGGTATGTTTACAAGTGTTTCTCCGTTGAGGGTGTCTTGAGGCTCTCTTCTGTTTTACCTATGCATATAATGAAGGCTTTCCGACACCAGATAGTTTTATAACGCTTTTTGATGTGTCCTGCTTACTGGACTGAGACGTGCAAAATTTAAACAGGGTGTCGCTATTACTGTTGATTTTCACCTCTGTTTTGAGGCAGAAGCGAGTTCATATGACGTAGGTAAATGCAAGTGAGTGGCTGTTTTTAAATCTGTATCAACTGCCTGACATTAGTTTTCTTTTACACAGCACAAGCTTCCTCTCAGCCAGTTCTATCCATACATTCGCTGTGCCCTGTGCTGCGGTTTCCTCATCGATGCCACCACCATCACAGAGTGCCTGCACACATGTGAGTTACAGCAGAGGTGTCCTTACAGAATAAGGCCCGTCATTTTCCATAGTAGTATTTCCAGCCCTCCCCATACAGTTGAACAAACGGTTCAACGGTTAGTGTCTGTCAGTCCAGGATTATCTTATTTGTTTGTGCCATAGACCTCCATTGTTGTTCACAAGTGATTAAAACACATCAGGGAAACACACCGCTGCAATCGGTAACATGTTTCATCATTACAAAACACTTTACCCTGATATTTCTTGAGAATGTTCAGAAATCTTAGGCATGGTCAGTTGTAACAAAGAAACATGTCACCCAGCTTTAAAAGTCTATATTTGTCTGGCTGTTCCACATACAAAAGGCTTTGACTTTGTCTTGCATTGTGATATGTTTAATTTTCAGTCTGCAAAACCTGCATCGTGAAGCACTTCTTATACAGCAACAGGTGTCCCACATGTGGCATTGTTGTCCACCAGACCCAACCTTTTTACAACATCAGGTAGGTCTGGTAAAGTATTTGCTGGCTTGTATCACATTTGGTCTGAATTAAATAACTATATGGTTGTCAACCAGGTTTAAGGTAGCTGAGTTTCAGTTACAGAGGTAAAACACTGCAAGAATTATTCTGGAAATTGAAATGCATGCACTCTTTTTACAGCTTTGATACAATGAATTCTAAAACTGAGGTGTGGAAATTGAAGGATTTTAGGGTTGAAAATTTACTCTCTCAGATCAGTTTTATGCTTCTAACAGTTTTTCTCTGTTTACCTGCAGGCCTGACAGACAACTGCAGGATATTGTGTACAAAATGGTTCCCTTCCTGGAGGAACGTAAGTATACATATTATACAGTAAGATGCATTTAATGTAATGGATGAACATTATGTCATTTTCTGTTTAAATTTTAATCAGAACTTTTTGTTTCTTTTTTCCTTAAAGTTGAACGAGAACAAATGTGTAACTTCTATAAACAGAGAGGGCTGGAAGTACCAAAACCAGGTAAAGTTGTTCTGCATTATAAGTAAACAAGTTTAGGCCAGTGTTGGCCTTGTAATGCAGCTTGCAGTATTTTACTTCTTTTATGTGGTAATGGATTATCGAAGTATTTAACCCGAATTAAATTACTGTTAACCAACATATTGCAGCAAAAGTCCCAAATAGTGGACTCATAGGTATCAGTTTGCTGCTGTATAGTAGCTGACCAGATTGAAACTACACAAATAATATCAAAAATAATAATCGATATACAAACATGGGGAGAAGACATACATTTTCATTAATGATCTCAGATATTAAAATTTCACAGGTTCATCTCTGTACAGATGTTAATTTACCAATCTTCATATCCTGCTTACTTGACGTTTTTGCCACTTATTAGTCTAAATGAAGAATCAGATGTTTATATTTTAGAGCAGAATGAACACAGATTGTCTGCAGTCTATAGGAACTATCTAACATAATCGGAATATATTCAGTCTCTGACTAATAAAGGTCACACATCCACACATTTATTCTGTTGACAGAATAAACCTTCATAGTGCAAAAGCTGGCTCTTACAATCAGAATCTCTCCAATTAAATAAGAAATATGAAGTTTCTATAAGGATACTCACCTTTATTTGGCGAAGTATGTTACACACAGGGAATTTGTTTCCTGTACAGAACCAAGGCAGCCATCTGCTGCACCTATAAAACTTGGTATTGTTGATTCAGCATCATAACCAGTCAGCTGAGAACCAGGCGTTTCCCATCATGCCCTGAGCAGTTGGTGGAGAGCAGCTGCAGCGGCCGGCTCCAAAACATGTAGTCCCCTTGATCTTGTAAGAATATCGCTGCCTGCATTTGTGTTTTTAGTCAGTGTTTTCATTAAATATGTAGCTGCATAGAAAAAGGTAAGGCCCTAAAACATTTCACTACATTTTGTATTAAGTCTGGGAGTTGGTAAAATGGAAATCTAGCAATGAAGATTTTCAGCAGAACAGAAGCAGGAACTTTAGAGTTGGTCACTGAAGTGATTCCCCTGTGTTTTTTCTTGCCCTTTGCAGTAGTGGTCTCCCCTCCGGGTCCTGCTGTGTTGAAAAAGCAGAGGAAAGATAACATTGCGCAGTCTGTGTTCGCTGTTCCTCCTGAGCTAGATGTATCTCTCCTTTTGGAGTTTGTAGGGTAAGGATCTCACCATACAGTTCTTTGTGCAACACTGCAGGTACTCAGCCTTTTAGATATTCTGCACATTTAACTAGAATTTATTTGCTGCACACTACATAGACCAAAATTAGATATGAAGCCAGTGTAATTTACACAAATAATCTGCTGTAATTACTTGATCTTAACTGTTTCTTGCTAAATATATCAACTTTAGCCCAAAAATGAGCTGGCACTCAGCCAGGTGAGTGAGAGTTCTGACCTGTGCATGAAGTCCAACACAGACATCACCAAAGAACAGAAATTCCTCAGAAGAAGAAAAATGGGTTACAAATAAATCACATACACAAACAGCAAAGCATGTGCACAATTCATTGGCTTATACTTCAGTTGAAATCATCATCAGTGTCATAATTATCACCATGTTGACTGCTAGGCTATAGAGCACTAACATGACTACATAAAAAGAGCTGGAAACTTGTTCCAGAAGTGATTTTCCCAGTTACTGTGTTCCGTAAGTTTCCCTCTCTCTGAATTTCATTATATACAGTGTACAGGCTGTGCACACTGGATGGTCAAGGTATTGTAAATAATTTGTGAAAAATACAGGTTCTTGTGCATTATGTTGTAAAACGGAGGTGGTGCCACCATCTGAGTGTCTTGGTGGCACCAGCACCACGAGTATGAAATGTTAGTCTGGAGCCCTGTTTACTAATAAATGAATTACTCATGTTTTTAAATTAGACCTATTTATATACACATTATACATTTTCACAACAGTGTTGGATTCGTCAAAGCACAGGTGTTACCTAATAACTAACAATGACTCTGCTCACAGTAAGCCCTGCTAGTAGTGAGTCAGTGTGCAGAATAGCAGGGCCCTGGGACTGGCACGCCTGAATGGAATGCAGCTGTTAATGTTATTAATCACACCAGTGCATTTGCTGCCATAACCTGTTCCAATGTTTGCCATGAAAGAAGGCCTGGTGCAGGAATATTGTGTACTTGATGTCTATTTTAAAAATACATACTAAGTTGTGTGAGAAGGCAGTGCCATTACAGCCAGACTGAAAAAAAACACCTGCAGGTTAATTGCAGTTAATCTGCCTTGTTGCAGGTGTAAATTCTCTAATTAGCAATTAGACACCCACTGTTATATTAAAGTCTCTCACTGGTGGGAATAAACTTTTAAAATAAAGGGTATCCAATTGTATCTACAAGGATAGGCACTTTGCGTTTGGCCCGATTGACCAACTTATATCTGGCTCGTCACCCATGTCTTCTGCTTCCAGTAAAAAGGGAAACCCAGTTTATAGAAATGAATGAAATTAGCATGTAGTTACATAGACCTGTCACCATATGATGCTGCTTTCTCATATTGACTTCCTGCTATCTACAAAAAATAAAACATATGGATGTTTTTTGTTTTGTTTTGTTTTTCAGGGCTGAAGAGGGCATTAGCAACTATAAGGTAATGACCCAAAATTTTCATAATAGTATGTATTTATTTTATAATTATCAGATCTTGTAGGTCACTGTAATAGATGAATGGAAACTTGTTAAATAATGTAGTGTAGGCGCACCTAGGCCTGTTTGTCCAATAGGATGTCTCAACAGTTAACCCAACAATGAACACTTAGATTGTATAATAATCTCTACTATTTTAGAACTGGGCCCGTATTCACAAAGCTTCCTAAGCCTAAAAGTTGCTCCTAGTGATGAAATTCTAAGAAAACTCTTAGAGTTAATGACGTTTTTTTTTAGAATTTCCCCTTAAATTTAGGACTAAATCTTAGTAAAGATAAAAGTGATTCACGAAACATCTTAGCCCTAAGAAGACTTTTAAGTGGCTTAAGAGTTCCTCTAGCAGCGGACAAAATGGTGGAAGGAAGAAATATTCTCGAAACAGTGAATATTGCAGCCATATGCTAAAATCATTTAAGTTCATTTTTTTCCTCATTAATGTACACACAGCACCCCATATTGACAGAAAAACACTGAATTTTTGACATTTTTGCAGATTTATTAAAAAAGAAAAACTGAAATATCACATGGTCATAAGTATTCAGACCCTTTGCTGTGACACTCATATATTTAACTTAGGTGCTGTCCATTTCTTCTGATCATCCCTGAGATGGTTCTACACCTTCATTTGAGTCCAGCTGTGTTTGATTATACTGATTGGACGTGATTAGAAAAGCCACACACCTGTCTATATAAGACCCTACAGCTCACAGTGCAGTTCAGAGCAAATGAGAATCATGAGGTCAAAGGAACTGCCTGAAGAGCTCACAGACAGAATTGTGGCAAGGCACAGATCTGGCCAAGGTTACAAAAAAAAATTTCTGCTGCACTTAAGGTTCCTAAGAGCACAGTCGCCTCCATAATCCTTAAATGGAAGACGTTTGGGACGACCACAACCCTTCCTAGAGCTGGCCGTCCGGCCAAACTGAACTATCGGGGGAGAAGAGCCTTGGTGAGAGAGGTACAGAAGAACCCAAAGATGACTGTGGCTGAGCTCCAGAGATGCAGTCAGGAGATGGGAGAAAGTTCAATTCATTAATGCAATCGAGGGAAGGATGAATGCGGCCAAGTACAGGGATATCCTGGACGAACACCTTCTCCAGAGTGCTCAGGACCTCAGACTGGGCTGAAGGTTCACCTTCCAACAAGACAATGACCCTAAGCACACAGCTAAAATAACGAAGGAGCGGCTTCACAATAACTCCGTGACTGTTCTTGAATGGTCCAGCCAGAGCCCTGACTTAAACCCAATTGAGCATCTCTGGAGAGACCTGAAAATGTCAACCAATGTTTACCATCCAACCTGACAGAACTGGAGAGGATCTGCAAGGAGGAATGGCAGAGTATCCCCAAATGCAGGTGTGAAAAACTTGTTGCATCATTCCCAAAAAGACTCATGGCTGTATTAGCTCAAAGGGGTGCTTCTACTAAATACTGAGCAAAGGGTCTGAATACTTATGACCATGTGATATTTCAGTTTTTCTTTTTTAATAAATCTGCAAAAATGTCAAAAATTCTGTGTTTTTCTGTCAATATGGGGTGCTGTGTGTACATTAATGAGGAAATAAATGAACTTAAATGATTTTAGCATATGGCTGCAATATAACAAAGAGTGAAAAATTTAAGGGGGTCTGAATACTTTCCGTACCCACATATATACATGTATGTGTGTGTTTGTGTATGTATATATGTGTGTATATATATATATATGTGTGTGTGTGTGTGTGTGTGTATTGTATATACAAATATTATGATTTCACTGTCCATCATATTATCATATATTCTCTTTTCACAAAGACCGCATTTTTGTAAAGACCGTGACAGATTCTTTATCAACCAATCACAGCCCATGATTTGCTGCGTCATCCCTAGCAACGGGGTCAACCACACTTCCTCACTAAGATAAAAGTTTTTGTACTTTCTTTGCTCAGAGTTGCTCTGAGAAGTTTCCTAAATCACTTTTAGTCTAGGACTCCCAGCTAGGACTTTTTAGGCTAAGATAGGAGCTCTCTGAGAGAATTCTAAGATGCTTTGTGAATACGGGCCCTGGTCTCTTAGTCAGTAGTTGCTTGTTGCTCTCTCTTCGACTTGCTGGAAACAGCAGTTTACTGTACAGCTGTACATGGGGTAGAATTGACAGTTCCCTAATGCAGTCTGTGTTTGGGTTGAAATAAATGGTGAACTAAAAGCTCTATAAAGCTGCTGTGAGTTTCTTTTCATTTGTTATCATTTATTAAGTCATTTTAGTGAAGCATTTAAACACAAAAAGCTATATTAAGAATAACTGTGTGTGTTTACATGTGCGCTTAGACAAAACGCACATGTACTGTAGAATAACCAATCCTACATCAGGATTTGACACAGTGAAACTAGCACAGTAGTTTTTAGTGAGTGCCATCCTTCTGATAGACTGATGCACTATATGCCCTTATGTAGCCACTAGAGAGGCGGTACGTTCGTGTGTCAGGTGATGCCACCATCCGCCATGTGGAGTTGTTCATCAGGAGGAAGATGGAGCTTAGCCCAACCTGCCAGGTGAGTCTGCTAGGTTTACAACTAATCATCCCACAATGTCTTGATCCTAATTGTTGCTTTAGACAGACTTGGAATCAGGACAACAGAGAAAGTCAGCATTACAGTACAGTGTAGGCGTGCATAGTGACAAGGTTAGAACTTGTTTATCTTTACAGAGATAGCACTACTGCAACATGTGCCATTACCCCATGGTGTGCAGGTAGGGTGTGTGTGTGTGTGTGTGTGAGAGAGAGACCTAATAACACTAATGTACATTAATGTCCACACTTTACGGCAACACACACCAGCAGCGTATGTGGGTGTCATGTTGATATGCCAGGATATGTTTTATTTCTTGGTGTTGATGTATGTCAACTCTCCAGAAAAGTAGCAACAATACTATAACAAATTGTAAAATGTATTTCAAATGATAGTTGTAAGACTTATAAGTCACATGATTAATTGACTAAGATCCTGAAAAGCTAAAGGCAGGATGACCAAAGTGTGAGAAATATGGGTACACTGGAGACAACTCAACTGTGTGATGTGGTTGGTTGATCAATTTCCTCATTTATTAGTAATTTATAGCAACACTGGACAAGGTCTAGGCCTGTTTGTCAATATCTTATAGAAAGTTGTGCTACCATGTAAACATTATTAGAGTATTGATGGCCAGGCTGAGGCTGCCCGGCTCTGGTGAACTGGTGTTGGTATGAGGAATGGAAATTAATTCTGTGATGCTGACTTTTAGTTGTGTCGCCAGGGAGAGAGGGATAGGGATTGAAAGTGCCCAATTGTGGGGAAGAATAAAGAGGGGGAGCATGAAACATAACTTGTCTGGGGATTATTTGATGTAATTTTGTGGATTATCAATGAAGTGTATGAACTACACTGCAGATTGAAGTCTCTGCTAACAAAGACAAGCTGGATGACAGCCGTGTCATATGAATGGATTTGGTGTGCCCCAAAACAGTTAAGGTACATGCTGCTTAACACCCACAATGCTCATGTTTTGACTTGGAGCCGGGGGACTTTAGTTGCTTACCATACTCCTTTGTTCTTGTGTTTCCTGTCTCTCTAAACTTGCTGGAGAAATAATGGAAAAATTGTCAGTTTAGTTGACTGGTAAGAATTTAACCCCATTTCACCTCATGTCAAGGTCAGACCTATCAAAAGATAAGCCTTAAAAATATGGCTAGAGCAGAAAGCACTGCAGTGAGCAGTGTGAGTGTGTCAAATGGGGAGACAAAACAGCTGTTGAATACAAGCATTTCCTGCTATTGAAGCGCCAGCTGCTTGGGTCAAAACTCTGCATACTGGCTACCTCTAAAGGACAACAGACACTCCTTAAGCACAACCTTAACCTTAATCTGATTACAGTCAAATTAGCAGTGCAGTGATATCATTTCTCAGAACAGTGGATGGGCTGTAAGGGAAGGCTTACAGTGAGAAATATCCACCTGCATTCACAGCACAGGTTTAACAGAAATCTTTAAATTAAAACACACATGTTGTGGTTCTATCATGTCAGGGGGACATTGACTTACATTCATTTCCTGGATACTTACCCTAACTTTAACCATAACCACTACTTGCCTAGTGCTAAACCTCACAAGTCATCATTCTAAAATGTAATGATTTATGTTGTGGGAACTTGCTTTTCCTTCCATGAGGATGTTGAGTCCCCACAATGAGACTGTAAACACGCTTGCATCCCCACAACATGAGCAATACCAGGGCGCACATTTTACACACACAGTTCTATCTATGCACCACCGGACTTGTGGGTTGTTGCAGTGGCCTGAAGTGTGTCTGCTTGCTCTGCAGGTGGATGTTGTTTGTGGAGATCACCTCTTAGATCACTACCAGTCACTCAAAGACATACAGAGGTCTGCAGGTGAAGATGCACTGCAGGTAATCACCAGAAATGCACAGCAAAAGCGCACTACAGTTTTAAAAATGTAAATTTTATGTGTGGCCAGGAGCCCTGATCCCACTTTAATGGTCCTTTTGGTCTTGTTTCCAGGATGGTCTGTTGGTGCTACACTTTGGCTTGGTCCTGCCCTCACAGTCTTGAGTGTGACCGCTGGATGCAACTGGCCTTTTGGACTTTGTTTTTCATCATTCCATTCTTGTCGTAACACAGAGTAAAGATTATACTTTTGCATTATAACTACTACAAAACTGTGTTGTTCAGAAAGTGTTAAAATTGTCACAGATTAACATAAATCTAACACCAAAGTGCAGAAAGGAACTGACAAAAATGTGTAAGACAAAATCCATGAAGTCTAAATTTGGATTTCTTTATTGAACAGTCTGAAATGAAATGCTGTCAGCTGCTCTTTTCACTCTGTTGCAAGTGTTCATCTCTCAAGACCATCATCTTATATTCAGGATTTAAATTTGCCAAACACTGATGTACATTTTATTCACTCAAGTGCAAGCATGCAAAAATGAATTTACCAGATGAATGGAAAGGACAAGTACCAGGTCCCAGTTCACACTGCCAAGGTGTCTTTTCAGGTGTGCTTCCACTGAACATAAAAATGTGACTTCTGCTGTATATTTAAAACTGGACGTAACTGCTGTTTGTGGATCTGAAACTCAGGCAGCGCACTGTGAAGGTATTACAAGCTGTGTCTAGTTTACCTGTCTTTCTAGAAACCAGGGGCCTCTAAAGTTTCTTTCTATTAATATGAAGAGTTTACTATGATTGAGTTTAGATACTTTTTATTTATAAATAGCTTGAAACAAAAAGACTACCGCTACCAAAGGTTTCTGTATGTGCTTATATAGTGCTTAATTCAACACAGTAGCTTTAATTACAGCTTGCTTCTTACTGAGTTACACAGTTAATTTAACATCTGTTAACTATTATAGAAGCAGTCTGCTAATGGAAATTAATGGGACTTGATGAAACCTCTGCTTTCAGTACAACACATCAGAGCACATAAACAGCCATCTAAACCGGGTTTGTACATAGAAGTGTTTGGGGGAAAAAAAAAAAGAAAAACAAAAAAAAAACTTCCTGTTTGCATTTATCATTTGAATAAATAAATGACTGTAAACTAAGAAATGTTCCTTGTTCATCCATCTTGCTTAATTTGCAAGGGCAGATTAAGAAGCTTACCTGTGATTTCTCCACACCTAGACAATAAAGCCTGTTTTCACTGTCTAGGTACACACTGTTACTAGGATCAGGGTCTTTCTCAGTGGGGCTAGACCTAGTAGGGGCAGACCTGAATGGACATACTGTACTGTGAATGTGCTGACTGGGATATAGAAAACAGTTTGTCAGTCATGTACTTTTATCCATTGCCATAGCTGGATACATTGGACAGACAACATGTACTGTTTGATGTATATAATATTTTGTGTACATCATCATAAACCACAGTGGTTAGCGCTGTTGCCTCACAGCAAGAAGGTTCAAGCCTGGACCATCCTGTTGCCTTTCTGTATGGAATTTGCATGTTCTCCCTGTGCTTGCATGGGTTATCTCTGGGTACTCTGGCTTCTTCTCACAGTCCAAAGACATGCATCTTAGGTTGACTGGTGACTCTAAATTGCCCCGTAGGAGCGTGTGTGGTTGTCTACATGCTCCAGTGGTAATATAATAAGTGGTATATAAGTGGATGGATGGATGGATGATAAACCATGCTGGCTGTTTATGCAACTATAAGGTTTTTCAACATAGAACATTATATTAACACTGTTTTGGGACCTAAATTATTTATACTATATATTAATGATATATGCAAGGTTTTTGATTTAGTGAAAGTGGTTTTGTTTGCTGATGACACTGCCATATGGGCATCGGGTGAAAACCTACAGCAACTCTCTGGACGGGTTACACAGGAACTTGAGAAGATAAAGAAATGGTGTGACAGTAATATACAGTGCCTTGCGAAAGTATTTGGCCCCCTTGAACTTTGCGACCTTTTGCCACATTTCAGGCTTCAAACATAAAGATATAAAACTGTAATTTTTTGTGAAGAATCAACAACAAGTGGGACACAATCATGAAGTGGAACGAAATTTATTGGATATGTCAAACTTTTTTAACAAATAAAAAACTGAAAAATTGGGCGTGCAAAATTATTCAGCCCCCTTAAGTTAATACTTTGTAGCGCCACCTTTTGCTGCGATTACAGCTGTAAGTCACTTGGGGTATGTCTCTATCAGTTTTGCACATCGAGAGACTGAAATTTTTG